GCTAATATTCAGATGATATTCAGCAGGCATTCAGATAGCATTCAGCTAACATTTAGCTGATATTCAGCAAACATTCAGCTAACATTCAGCTGACATCCAGCTCACATTCAGCTGACATTCAGCTGACATTCTTCAAAAATTCAGCTGAAATTCAGCTAACATTCAGCTGACATTCTGCTAATATTCAGATGATATTCAGTAGGCTTTCAGCAAACATTCAGCTAACATTTAGCTGACATTCAGTTAACATTCAGCAGACATTCAGCTAACATTCAGCTGACATTGAGTTGACTTTCAGCTGACATTCTACAAACATTCATCTGACATTCAGCTGAATTTCAGCTAACATTCAGCTGACATTCGGCTACTATTCAGATTATATTCAGCAGGCATTCAGATAGCAATCAGCTAACATTTAGATGATATTCAGCAAACATTCAGCTACTATTCAGCTCACATTCAGCTGACATTCTTCAAGCATTCAGCTGAAATTCAACTAACATTCAGCTAACCTTCAGCTAATATTCAGATGATATTCAGCAGACATTCAGGTAACTTTCATCTAATATTCATATAACATTCAGCTGATATACAGCTAACATTCAGCTGTTATTCAGCATATATTTACCTAATTTTCAGCTGACATTCAGTTAACATTCAGCTCACATTCCGCTAACATTCATCTGACATTCATTTTCAGCTGACATTCTACAAACATTCAGCTATCATTCAGCTGAAATTCAGCTAACATTCAGCTGACATTCAGCTAATATTGAGATGATATTCAGCGTGCATTCAGATAGCATTCAGCTAACATTTAGCTGATATTCAGCAATCATTCAGCTATCATTCAGCTGACATCAGCTCACATACAGCTTACATTCAGCTAACATTCAGCTGACATTCTACAAACATTCAGCTGACATTCAGCTGAAATTCTGCTAACATTCATCTGACATTCAGCTAATATTCAGATGATATTCAGCAGGCATTCAGATAGCATTCAGCTAACATTTAGCAGATATTCAGCAAACATTCAGCTGACATCCAGATCACATTCAGCTGATATTCAGCTAACATTCAGCTGATATTCAGCAGATATTCACCTAACATTCAGCTGACATTCAGTTAACATTCATCTGAAATTCAGCTAACATTCAGCTGACATTCAGCTAATATTCAGATAATATTCAGCAGGCATTCAGATAGCATTCAACTAACATTTATCTGATATTCAGCAAACATTCAGCTAACATTCAGCTGACATCAGCTCACATTCAGCTAACATTCAGGTGACATTCTGCTGACATTCAGTTGACATTCTTTAAACATTCTGCTGACATTTAGTCGACATTCAGCTGACATTCAGTTGATATTCAGTCAACATTCTTCTGACATTCATCTGACAGCAAGCCAAAATCCATCTGATATTAATTTAGTCGACATTTGAACGACAATCAGCTGACATTCAGCTAACATTCAGCTGACATTCTGCTGACATTTAGTCAACCTTCAGCTGACATTCAGCTGACATTCTGCTGACATTCAGCTAACATTCAGCTGACAGTGAGCCAAAATTGATGTGCAATTCATTTAGTCAACATTTAAACGACAATCAGATAACATTCAGCTGACATTCAGCTGACATTTAGTCAACATTCATCTGATATTCAGTTGATATTTAGCTAACATTCAGCTGATATTTAGTCAACATTCACCTGACATTCAGTTGACAGCGAGCCAAAAATCCATCTGATATTCATTTATTCGACATTTATACAACAATCGGCTGATGTTCAGTTAACATTCAACTGATATTTATCTGACAGTGAGCCACAATCCTTCTGATATTAATGTTGTCATCATTTAAATGACAATCAGCTGATGTTCAGCTGACATTCAGCTAACATTCAACTGACCTTCTGCTGACATTTAGTCGACATTCAGCTGACATTTAGCTGGCATCCAGTTAACATTCAGCTGTCATTCAGCTAACATTCAGCTGACAGCAAGACAAAATCCATGTGTTATTCGTTTAGTTGACATTTTAACACCAATCAATGACATTCAGATGATATTCAGTCGATATTCATCTATTTTCAGCTGACAGCGAGCCCAAATCCATCCGACAGTTTGGCGTATTGTTTTTGTGCTACAGATGCATGGCGTATTTATTAGTTCATATCTTAGATCTTGTTACTGTTTTTCTTTACATTTTATACTTTTGTTGGATGTAACTGGGACCATTTGTACACAATTTCATTCGCACCACATATAGTGCGAATGACAAAGAAACTTTGACTTTGACTTCAGTCGACATTCAGCTGACATTCAGTTGATATTCAAGTGAAATTCACTCAACATTTAGTTGACATTTAATCAGCGTTCAGTCGACATTCAGCTTTCATCAGTCGCTTTTTAGTCAGCATTCCGCTTACATTCAGCTAACGTTCAGTCGACATTCAGCTGACGTTCAGCTAACATTCAGTGGACATTTATTTATCTGATACTTTGTAGAAACGCAGCTAAATTATTTGACATTCAGTCATTTTAGCCCATCAGATCTTTAGTGGACTGACTGCTTTTCTTCTGTTTTTTTGTTCCTGTCTGTCTCCCTGTCTGTTTCTGGTTGTTCCTGTGTGTCTCTCTTTCTGTCTCTGGTTGTTCCTGTGTGTCTCTCTTTCTGTCTCTGTCTCT